CTGTAGGTTATCATCACGTGACAGCATCTCAAGCCACAACAAAATATATCTGAAATCTTTAATTATATATATTTTTCTTGGTTTTATCTTAGAGGAAGTAACTACATCAGTCTTCCAAACTTTATTGAGAATATTATTTAAATTTAGTTAGGTATAGTATCAAGGTGAAAAAAGTTTCAATATCCTACGAAACAATATCCTACAAGCTACAAAGCACTCAAGGTATGTCAATAAAAACAACCTTTTTTTTATTGAACTAATATCACATATAGCATTATAGCGAGAATTTTAGTTGATTTACCTTAACTTTACATAAAGCGAGCACTTAATTATATGACTGTTATATGACAAAAAATTTTAATAATCATTGAAGAAACCATACATATAGTGATGATCGTTGGTAAATATTTTTAACATGAAGCAGTAAAAATTTGCATACCTAATGAAGAGTGGCAAGATGACATAGTCACTAACATACTGAAAGTATAAAATTTCCAAAACTCAAATTAAGAAATATTTTTTCAATTCGATTGATCCGCCTATCAACAGATATTAGCGTGTTAAATATATTTCTATTTACGCGAAACATGGAAAGAAAGCTTGTTTTATTCCAGTGATCCAAAGAATTAATATTCGTTTTTTGTTAACATTCTGGCAATTTCATCTTATACATAAGTRATTGCCCCTTGTTTTATTTTCATATAATCAGTGTCCCCAGAAAGTGGCTTAATGCACCACAAACAGAAGCCTACACATATCGAAGTACAGYWCWAAACATGCAGAACAAAAATTTCACCTATARRAATAATGCTTGAATGCACACAAGAAATAAGATATTTGGCACAAATAGAAGTTTATATTTTCATGCTGGCTTATGTGGGGTGTCTCGAAAACGAAAAGCTCGAAAATAATAATAAATAATTAATGATAATACGTCTTTATTTATATAGCGCCATTTCCTAGAAGAGCAATAGCGCTGGCATACCTCTAAATGTGGACTAGGATTTGGACTCGATCCCGGACCCGGACTCGGACCCACAAAATCATTAATAATAATAATAATAATAATAATAATAATAATAATAATAATAAAACTACATCATATTGAAATAATGAGGACTTTTATCAGAAAGAGAACATAAGCCTGACCAGCCAAGTTTTCCTGATATTGGCACACTTCAATGAACTGCAACTTGCTCTACAGCCGTTTGCTTTATTACTTGGAAACTCTGCACAATTCACTTGTGGTTTCTCATTTAGTAAGAAAACAATTCCCTATTCAAACAAGCATTTGATTTATGAAATTGATTTATTGGACATCTTCAAGCAGGTTTGAATTTTATTACTCAGAACATCCGTGGCGAAATGGATTAGCGCGTTGGACTTCTGATTCAAAGATTGTGGGTTCGATTCCCATCGGAGGTGAAATTTTCGCCATTTTACATATACCTTTATAGGGCATAATGTTTTTATAGAGAATTTTTATAAATGTGCCCATCATCCAAATGATTATTAAATATTGTTAAAACTATTCATTGGACTACATTTTCAATTTATTACCATTTATTGTAGTTTGCAAATTAATTTTAATGAGTTTTGCTGATGGAGAAAAGTGTATAAAAACTATGGAATAAAAGGAGATGCGAGGTCCAGAAATCAAAACCGTTAACGCAGAGGTGAGTGGTGCACCAAGAAACAACCTCAAGGCTGTTTGTTGAGAGTTAGTCA